ATCCGGCGTTCGGCTATTAGATCGCGTGCGTTTGGGCGGAGGGAAAGATAATAATAAGAATAACAACAATGACAACAATAATAATAATGATAATAAAAACAGTAATAATAATAATGATAATAAAAACACTAATAATAATAATAATAATAATAATAATAATAATAATAATAATAATAGCAATACAAATATAAACAGGAAGAAGACAAAACTATTTTTTACATAAATATATGTATGTATATGAATAAATTAATGTATGTGGTGAATGAATTTGAGTGGGAAAGGTTAAAATTTGGCCGAATGGACGCAATTTGAGTGAGGTGGCTTAAACTCACTGCCATTAAATTTGGCCAGAAACCGAAAAAAATCATCAGTTCATTGTACACGTTAATTGGAAGACGGTCATCTGTCTATCAGAATTCCTCATTAATCCGTACAGTTTGAACGGAATTCTCAATGGCACATGGTCTGCAGCGCAACGCCACACAATTACGACAGGCTAATTAAAAGCATACATTTGAGTCCTCGCTGTCCAAGTTAATAACTTCATACTGTTGCGTAGCATTCATTTGTTTATCAGCTATCACCAATTGCCGTGGTGCTCCTGCTGCGGGCAGATCTGTGCAATTCGGTGTCTGACTCGATTCTTCGAATGTTTCTCCCGTCAGTGTACTTCTTTCAGCTGGTCGTTGGGAACCTTCGGATACAGAATCAGAAATTCTTTCATTCGAGCTTAGGCCGAGGACGTCAACGAGGCAGGAAGGCTGTCCCTGGGACACCATCAGGAATTGTGGCTGTTGTCCCTCGAGGATCATGCAGACGGGATGCGACTGGACCACTTGCAATTGAGGATCAGTCGCAGATGCAATGGGGAATAACGGTACGGTAGAATCGAGAGCATCGGGTTCTGCTTGCGTGACAATCGGAATCGCTTCTAGAAGCGAAGTGTACCCTGCTGATTGCTGAAAACCAGAATCGCTGGTTGCTGGATTCTGTGGCGTGTGCTCGTTTGTTGCCTTCATTTCGAGCTGCACGTAGTGCGTTGGTCGCGGTGGATGCCTGTCGTTCGGTAGGCGCACGTCGTTTGAACGTATCTGATCTGCGCTTGGTGCCAGGTTGCTCTCATCTAGCCCGCCTGCTCGCAAATCGTACACGACTCGTTTACCAGCTCCGCGGCCATCATCAGTGGCCTCTAAGTCAATTTGCAAGAGATGCAGTCGGATGGCTTCTGTGAGCATCTCCGATTCGGTAGCACCAGGATGCAATCTGTGTAGGAAGACCTTCTGGGCAATCGGCTCTCGCAGTGCCGTCAGTAGGCGATTTGAAGTTTCCGGCAAAGATGAATCTTGTGCTAGAATTTTCGACTCCTGGAATGAACCATGTAACGATTTGGCTCCGGACTGCGCCATTTCTACATCTATCGGTGATTGTCTTAGTTGAAAGGTCCCTTGTGTCGTGCTCGGTTCACTCGGAAGTAGCACTCGATGCTCTATTAATTCTGTCAAAGCTGGGCGTTCCTGAATGACCTCCGATCCTTGTTGCCCCGGTACTTCTGGCTTTTCATCTGTCCTAGTAAGAAAATTTCGTAGCACCGACATTTCCGTCGGTTTTCTCTCCTGCAATTAACAAAATCTCACATTTTTAGAGGATTTGTATCCCGGTGGCTCTTCTACATCCTCAGGCATTTCACCGCGTTGTTTTTATTTCTTTAAAACTGTTATGTTTTAGTCCTTAATTCCGCATCGACTT